AAGTTCTTGGATATCACCTACATTAAAGGGTTAAATCCACAGCAAATCCATCAGCCCTGATAACCCARATTCCAGGGATACTAGATCTGGTCTGGAGACTCCAGATTTGGGACCCAGATATGAGTTCTATTTTTTGGAAACCAACTGCTGATCAAAACACTGTTTTGGAAAGGATTTTATTTATTTACAGAAATCTCCATAGAAACTACAACAAAGACTTTTCAACCAGATGTGATGCTTCATTGTTAATTAGTTCATCTATTRGAACAACAGCTTTCCTATCATGAGATCTGGGCAGCTAAAATTTGAAGTGCTAGCTCCAGACTGCCCATCAGATGGAAAATATTAGCAACACACTCAGCTTTTGGAACTGAAAACCTCAAGTGTGTGGCATAAAAGCAGCAGACATTGCTAATCTCCAGAYACCTCCATGGAAAAGAGAGGTGCAGAGCACCAAAGTGGTTTCTGCAAGAGCATTCAGATCCTTGTGCTCAAATTTATCTCATGACCAAGATCATTACACCCCACAATAACTGAACCCCATCTTTACTGCAACATCCAATAAATAACATTATTGATTGGCATTATGGATTATATCCAGTGACTTGATGCATCTAAACTCTGAGGGCCATGGTGAATACCAGGAAAACAGTCAGGGTAGCAGCAGATGATGCTGTGATTGGGAAAACAAAGCACTCATTGCACCCCTGTCTCCTCAGTTTATGAGCCAGGCTGGATGTATTTTTAGTCCAACATTTACCTCTCTTCCAACCCAAACACAGTTCTCTCATATAATATCAACAATGCCTTCAAACAAAACAGTGAATTGCAGTGCCATGATCATAAATAAAATTATCAGCTGTCAGGCACAGGCTCTTAGTGTAAGCCAGGGCAACACTCATCACTTGCCTCCCCAGCACAGGCCAGTTGGCTTTGCTAATGGAAAGGCAGGGGATGGTGTTTTAAATGCCAAGAGACAAACAACCAATGGAACTTTCTGCATATTGAAATGTTGCATAACCAACTTCTCCAAAAATGTTCAGTTCCTGGGTCTACCCTCCATTGCTGGTTTGTTTCATTGTTTGTTTTTTTTTCTTTAATGCTACCTGTCCATTAAACTGGARAAAAATCCCAGACATTAAATCGATGGGAAACTTTTAGATTTCCTCACCACCTGGGCTTGACTGGCACCATTCTGAGCTTCAGGAAGCACAGCCTGTTCATACAGACCAATATGTGCTGCTTGATCCCCAAAGCTTTCAGTTAACTTTGTTCTCTTTTTAGCTGGTGCATTCCCCAGAGGAAATAATGGAGAACTGGCTTGAAGAACTTACACGAAAAGAAATGGGTTCATTGAATTTGACACACACAGCAGTGACTTGTGTTGGAAGGGAGTGATACAGGCTCTTAATTTGGAGAGAAAAAAAATTGATATGGCACTGGAGAGAAGGTATTAAGAGGAAATTAAAAAGTAAAAAGTAAAGCATCCTGGGCTTCAGGATGCAATATTGCTTAACAAGCTTGGAAAACACAGAGAAAAGAAAAAGTTTGAATGATTCTTTAAGCTAGTTCAGGGCCACCTTGCACCATTTCCTCCAACAGAATCTCAAGTCAACCCTGGCATTGTACCAAAGTCACCAAGTTTGGGACTGAGGTGATACAGAAGTTAATATTGGGTTTGAAGACATTCCTTACAGTCTCATGCTGCAAGCCCAAGCAGATTTAAAGAGACGGAGGGAGGAAGATTCACCACGTTTGTGTCCCCAGTGGCTCTTTCCTCAAGCCAAACAAGCCATATGACACCAGTGAGCACACTTAGTGCCACAACATGTGTCTGCCCCATTAAACAGCCACAGCTGCTTCTGGGCCACTGAGACCTATCACACACAGCCAGGGGAGCTGGTCCCCTGCTCCAGCAGCTCCTGCAGAGCTCTGACAGGGGACACCCCCCAAGGGACTGTCCCCTTACACACCCAGAGCCAGGAGAAACTCCAGGGRGATGGATAAAGTTACACTACAAACCTCTTGAGGACAGCAGAACTTCACCAACGAAAAACCCTCACAAAAAAAGGAGAAAAAAAGCACACTCTGCCTGCAAACTGCACRAGACTTTCAAACAGCAAAGACTTCACTGGAAAAAATCTGGCAGCAGGAGCTGAAAAGCAAATAGCTGATGTAAACTACTGTTTATTTTACATGCACTATCATCAAAAATAGGACAAAACTCACAAGGAACATCCTTCCCGTTCACCCCTACAGAGGATTTAGTCTGCATTAGGTGTTCTGGACAGGAATTCTGTAAGAAAGGAGACGCTGTGACTGATGCATTTGTCAAAGTCAAACCACATAAATCGTTCAAAACCAAAAAAGGATTAGTCATGCCMTGATCTAATGGCTTTTAAAGAGATGGAGAGCTCCTCAGATAGCACATACAGCATGCTGAAATTAAATGGTTTTAGCATTTATTTTCTGATAGAAAACTGGTACTAGTTTCCCTGTTCTGCTTTAAAATATTTTGGTTTTTTGTTCAGGTAATAAATCTGTCCTCCAAATTGAGTAAAAAAAAAATCCCAGTTCATTATTTCTCTGATTTTCTTCTGTGCAATTTTAATTTTTGCAACAGGGAGAAGAAATATACCTCCTCTGGAGGTGCAACTTGCAATCTAACATACAGAGAAGCTGTATGTATAGAAGTTCAGCTGAAGTCAGAGTTTGATTCAGCCCTTGCCRGTTTCAATTTCACACCAAGATGACTCTGTTGAAATTCTCTCATGTCAAATTGTGACATTTCTTTACTTACTCTRTGCTGTCAGAGCTGCACCAAAGGATTGAAAAGTGGGTCAGAGTACAACCCACTGACTCTAGAATCAATTTGGTGATATTCCCTGATTACAAAGAGGTTTAAGCCACAGTTTCTGAACAGAGGTGTTTAACTATGCAAAGGACTAAAATCTGTGCTTGGACCATGCTGGACCTTGGACCAGCGTTCTGCCAAAAATTGGTTTTGGTGGAACAGGAGTAGAAAAGGCTGGGAAGAAGGTTCAGTACCTTTGATTCACCTCAATCAGCTCTGAGATAAAACACATCCTTCCATGTACCTGAACTGGGAAATCTGGAGCAGGAATTGTCATCCTCTGTGCAGCTCCTTATCCTTTCTGATTGAAATCCATACAAACTATCTCACTAGCATTAAGCACAACTGGAGAAGAGGGACAACCTTTGCCTTTGCAAAGCACTGATACACCATCCCTTAAAGCCCATATTTCAAAGAGCAGTAGCTACATCTTGTGGAAATATTCAGGATTGCAGGCTTATCCCTACTAAATAAAATATCCCTTTATCCCTAAAATCCTCTGCCCTTTGCAACCCCTCTTTTTAAGCACAATGTACAAAGTGAACTGGCACAGAACATTGATCCAGAGTAAAACAGCAGCTTCAYCCAGTCACTGCCCTTCCCACCCCAGACATGATCCAACACCAGGGAGCAAAGCACAGGTCTGGGCTCTGGGGCTGAATGCTGAACCTTTGCGGATTGCAGCCTAATGGTAGCAGCAGCTTCAGTGCCAGCCTCTTGTGCTGCCCAGAGAAACTCTGGATGCTCCAACCCTGGAAGTGTTCAAGGCTAGGTTGGATAAGGCTCTGAGAAAGCTGGTTTCACAGAAGGGGTCCCTGCCCATGACTGGGGAGTTCATATCAGATGATTTTTGCAGTATCTCCCCCTATTACATATCTAGTAAAAATCAGTTTCCATAACTAGACATTTCACAAATTAGACCAAGTACACAATTTCTCGTGAGTATGGTTGTCTGGCTAAAAAAAGAACATCAAGTTCAGAGTAATTCCTACAATCTGAAATGGAGGCAGAGGTAGTAAACTTTGGTTTTGTACTTTCTCTTATGGCTATTTTTTCTCCTCTAGTATCTGCCACCTTCCTAAGCCATAAATTAAGAAACACAGCACGACTTCTGCAAGAGCCAGGCAATTAATATTGTTGCCACTGCTGTCACCCTGACTCTCACATTAGCATAGAAATCACAAAGAAAACCCCATAAATCTTGRACCTGAAGCATGTTAATTAACTAGTTTTAATCTAGAGGGCATTCTTCCTACCTACACTGAGCAGTAGCTCCCTTACAGGGGACTAGACTCTGGACTCCCAGGCACTGCTGCTCATTTTTCCACCTGCCCTGGCAGCCTACCCTAAATTTAAGGGAAGGACTTCAGCTGCAGCTCAGCACACTTAGCAGCAACAGCCATTCTGAGCAAGATGCAGCTACAAGTCAGCCAAGTGAGCGAATATCCTCCCAAGTAATAATAGAAATAAAAAGTTGTAGCTTGCAATGAGACAATCTTGTTGGTATCTGTTCGGTAATAACAGCTTATTCATGATGTCTGCTGTTGCCTAGGGCTGACTTCATCAYAACCTGTGACCTGCAGCCTACAGCTCTCAAGGCTTCCCCTAACAGGCAGGGCCAGGGAGATTGGAAATGTTAGAGTCAATAGCAGCAGACAGGCTAATGACATGGGAAACCCTCGAGAGAGAGCAGGAGGCAATCAGTCCTGCCCTTTAGCCCTCKGCTTAGCTTGTTTGCAAAACCAAGATCAATCCAGCAGCTCCTCTGACAAAAAAAGACCCCACCAACCAAAACAAAAGTAAAGCTCMAAATATTTTTACATTACTAAGTATATTATTTAGCATTTGTGCAGGTTCAGTTTCATTTCAGTCTTGTAGCTCTGGAMTGCCTTGATTCAAGTGAGAGAGCAGGAAGCAGAAAAGAGAGACAGGGCCCATGGTAATCCTCCCTAGCCCAGCTAGGTCAAGAGAAGAGAACTTTGAAGTTTTTGCACAGGGAAGAGACTGAAGGTACACCGATTAAGCTTTTCCTCTGAGCAACATGTGAAAATGAAAGACATAGTTACTTAACTGGAAACAGCAAYTGAATTTAAGTTAATAGATGTTTCTTACAAAAAAATAGAGCAAATAATATAGAAGACAAGTGTGAATCAAGAATTTTATTTTTTCTCCACATACATAAAAAAAGTGAGTGAACACATAAGACAGCAAGTCAGAAAAACTAAACATATTTACAAGACAGTTAAGATATCAATTTTTTTCCATCTTCAAGATCAAGTCATCACAGATTTTTGTTAATTCATCATTTTCTTTAGTCTGTGGGAGAAAGAAAAAAGTGAGTTTCAGGTATGTCTGAACTATGTTACAAGCTTGTAGTGAGCGGAGTGGCTACAAGTCCTGTTTGCCAGTATATGGAATAGGAAGTTGATTTAGATTATAGTGGCACATGCAAATTTAATGTAAAGGACAGTCAGCTAYGGCAAAGGTCACATGGAATCCTTAGGAGCCTCAGGAAATGAGCCAGAATCCACTATACTGTTTCTACTTCTTCCCAGACATTCGCCTAACACATGGAGACCAACTGATCCAGGGAAGCAAGACTTGGGACTCAAAGCCTTTTTTAGGTAGACCAAAAYTCAAGACAGGGAGAGTTTAGATTTTAATCTTCACAAGACATTCTATAAAATGATGCCTTGATACTTTTATTGACATGTGACAATTTACAGTTTGTAGAATTCCTTATGGAACACTTAAACTATTTTGATAGGAACTCTTAAAATATTGCTGTATTGATAAGACCAAACCTAATATTATATTAAATGCCTTATCTCATTTCTCCAGATACAGGCCTACTGTTTCCTCAGCTATGCAAACTTCAGCCATAAGCCTGAAGAGTCACAAATATGGGTTTTTCCCATTATAGGAATCTGTCAACTTTATCCATTTTGAGTCTAACACTGGCAGAAGCAATGCAGTAAAATTAATGGCATACATTTCCAGCAGTGACTTGTAATCCTCAAAAAGCTATTCCTTTGAAGGGTTCCAACAAAGGAAACTGATGTGCCTTTACCAAACTTYCTAAGACTTTATATTGCTTCATATTGCATAGGTAAAGTACAAGGATTAATGGCCTGAACAATATTGAAAACTTGAGTCATGTACAGTCAAATATGTATTGGTGCTAACAGCTTAAAAGTCATGTTCATGAACAAGCTGTACCAGACAGTTATTCAAAATTTATTCTCAAATTCTGCTCTGCATCATGTGTAAACTTTAATCACCACTTCCTTCAGTAGTTCAGGTAACCTCCTGACACAKTAGCCCAGATTGGTTTGGGAACAAACCTTGTGCTCCAAAAAAATATAAACATACAGACAAGTCCTGACATGACACATCTTTAGTCTTAGGTCTCAATGCCTATTTCCCAAACCCTGCCAGGAGTGCAATCATGTAAACCAGCAAGTAAGCAAGGCTCCTTCTAGCCCTGGTACAGGGGCATTCTTGACACAGGCTAGGGCAATATCTTGGAAAGACTCACCCACAGCATTGTGACTGACCTTTTGTTCAAGGSTCCTCTCTAAAGACTGGATCCTCATCTGTTCTTTGCGTAGAGTGGCCTGAAGTGCTGCGGTCTCTGATTTTGCTTTGCTGCGAACCTGGGCAATTTCCTCATTGGCTCTGAAACAGATGCAAGATGGTGTTTACATCCCCTTCAAACAGCACAGCCAAACTCTTCATAGAATCACACTAGATGCTTGTACTTTGGATTAATCACCAAATGAAACATGTTTAAAGCAAGTTTTGGCACTACAAATCACATTCTACAGCAACTGTGAAAACTGTATTTCATTCCTGGTACTTGGTTTCTTGACATGATACTTACTGCTGCAGCTTTTCCTCAGCATGTGCTTTAAGTGCCTGATATCTCTGCTCCTCTTTTTTAATTCTAGCCAAGTATTCTTCTGCACAGTTTTTCAAAACTTCTTCATTCTGTCCCAAAAGAAAAGAGGTTTAGTTAACCTTTTATGCTAAGAGATAGATGGAAGAATCTCTCCACTTGACAAATGAGCTATTTGACTACACKTAAGTGGCAGTATCTGCTCACTGAAGTAACTGTAGTAACAGGAGKAACTATGAAACACCACAGGTCTACATGGGTTAAACTGCCTCCTTTCAACTATCAACTTTGCAAACATTTATTCACCATATTTTTCCCCAATACACACTTAGTAGCAAACTATAGTAAAGGGGAAGGTCACTAAAACTACAGTCACTAATTGGTTTTGTTGTTTTGCTTTGATTACTTTTAAATCAGCTTTGAAGAAGTTGGATTTCTAGCTATTCCTGGAACAGCYGCAACTTAGGACAAAGAATCCATGGAAAGATTCAGGCTTTGGACCCTGATGTAAACAAATCCAACATTAACAGCAATAAAGTTACATTGATAGTCACACTATGAACCTACTTGAWTAATCAGTGTAGGAAGTTGCAACTTTTTGAAACAAGTGCTAGAACTCCCAACTAACTGCAGCTTGTTTCCAAGTGATGCTTATCTCTGTGCTGAGGAAAGGGCTTCTGAATTTAGGGTGGAGTTAAAAGGAATGCAAGATGAAGGAAGCCTGACATGTCAGCAAAGAAACAAAAGTTGTAGCACACACTATTCTTGTTTCTCAAACCTACACTACCATGAAAGTTGTAACAGGCTAGTTCTAAACTTGAATAAACAGGAACAGTAAAGGATAACTGAATGAAAAAAAATTCAAGGCACTTTTTAAAGCACCAACTGAACCAATTTTTATGCATTTCATGCAGTAAGAAACCATAGCTTATACTCATCATTAGMTTCCTTCCTCCAGCCTCTGAAGCTGCAGAATTAAGGCTTCACTTTAACTTTTAAAAAAACCTACAAACACCCCAGTAGTGAACACTCCACAAGCTTATTCTGACTTGTAATTTCAAATCCTTTTCAGCATCCATTCAATATGATATAGGGGAAACAAGCTGCTATTATGCAGCAGTTGCTGCATGAGAGTATCTCTGATTAACAAAAACGGTAGGCGTTGCAGCAAGAAACAGCTTCTGTTTGAAGAAACTTTGTCTTCTAACAGATATCATCTTAAAGTCAGTCACTAAATACAACAAATCTTTTTTATACTTTAAATAAAGAACTTAGCACTTGGTTTTACAGGCAACCCCTATACTACCATTAATGGCTGTTCTAGAAATTTCACCATTTTCTCTCCACTAGAGCTCATTTATCACAAAAGGATATTATTTGATTATTAAATCATCTTACTCTGTGGTAACCCTCTAATGCCTCTTTCTGTTTTTCAAGTCGCTTGAAGAGTTCAGAGAAAGACTTCTCCATAGACTTCTCCATAGAGTTCAGATCTGAAATAGCTTGCTGCTTCTCTTCCATCAGCTTCTGTACTTCATTCCTTGAGATTTCCTTCTGCTTCTGAGCATCCTCTAGAGAAAGTGAAGTTAACCCATGACAGTTATTGTTTTAGCATAAAATTAGTTCCATTGTATAGACAGATAACCTCCCCACACCTTCAATTCTTCCTCTTACAAAGGTTTCATAACATTAGCCTCTCACCGGGAAAGACATTTCCAGGTGAAAGCATTTCAGTGCTTTTAAGAAATCTGTCTCTGTCACCATGTTACATAGTATCTCACACCAAACCTAAGGCCATTAAACACAATGTCAAGGTGCTTGCCAAAAGCATTTTTTCTTTTGCACTGTMGTCAAAAAACTCTACCCGAGTTTACCATAACAGGGGCCTCAAATGTTGTGATAGAAGCAAGGAATCAAAAAATATTTTTCATTAAACATACACAACAGCTGGARGATCTGGAGGAGACTGGGATAACAAGTTAAACTAGCACAGCATACTTTCAGGACAGGTTTGTGTTAGCATGTCCAAGCTATGTTTCCCATAGCCTTAGAGGAGTACAAAAGAGCTAGCATAGATGTGCCTATTCAGCTTTGAGCAGAGAAAGTGTACCTAAACAAGAGCATCACTGCATGTCTTTCCTAGTTTTGAACCCACAACCTTTACTAAGGCAAAGTCCAGATCCATCCAGCAAGAACTTCTAATGTAGATCTTGCCACTCAATTGTTTATTATCTGACATCATTTAAATACAAAGTGCTGACAACTGGATCTGCCAGTTTTAATAAAACATCAGCTCACACTCCAGAGAATAAGAAAAAGCTGTGCTCATGCCTGATTCAAAAAGTCATCATTACCTACCAAGCAATGTCATGTCTGTATGAACATGCATAAAACTGTTAGTCTACCTTGTCTTAAACCTTACCCTTATTCTGAAAGCATCTGACATATTAATGTCAGTGATGAAAGAGCAATAACCTCATTAAATAACTATAGGCCAAGAATGGCCCAGACCYGCAAGGCACTCAGAGTCTAAGTATGGAACTTACCCATAAGTTGTACTATTGTCTGTTCAAATTCATCACATATTTTCCTAAAAAACCATGAAAAAGAAAAGTTGAACRTAAGTTAGGAAAGCATTTGGAGAAAATAAGTAGATGTAAAAGTCAGGACATATTCATACTTCATTTCCTTGTATTCCACATGAAGCTTGTCATACTTCTTGCTCCAYTCCTGAATCTCCAGCTCTTTCTTTTGAACCTTTGAGGGTGAAAAGACAAATCTTTATTTTTCACACAAAAAGACATAAAAGATTTGATTCTAAAAACAGTCTGGAGGGCAGCTTAGGTACACTTTTAACTTAATATAGAGAGAAAAATAAGTTCTAACTGTTTAACAGGATCAAAATWGTTTCTTTACCAACTTGACTCAARTAAGATTTAGATTAATATATAAATTTTGCATATATGATTCTCACCATATTATCAGTATGCCTTTAAGGGATAAGATCACAGCCAACTCAGTCAACCAACCTCTTGGCTATTCTAATTCAGTGTATATGTAGATCACTAACTTCTGAGAGAACACAACTAGCCAAGGAACATTCTCTCAAGTGACATTCCCTCTCATTTACAAGGCAGAGAAAAAAAGAGCACTTCACAAACCTGCTCATTTTAACACATGAGAGAACAAATGCCAAAAGTCTATTCAAGAGCAAATTACTGTTTGCAGTAATTTATATTCAACACTAAATTATGGAACATAGTAGGGGAGGATTAAAAGATGCCTCAACTCATTTAAGAATAATCATACCTATTTCACATCAGCTGAATGAACTAAAGCAGAGCTCACAATAGCATTAAGCAGCACAAATACTCTTTGCTGAACACTTGGTGTAAACTCTAAAACAGACCTCAGGACAAGGTTTCATTTAAGAACTGTAAAACAAAACTGACTGCAGTGTGGGAGGCCTTCAAAAACAAGAGACCCAAAACACATTAAAAAAACTGGAAWTTAAAAAAAAAATAAGAGAAAGTGAAAGCACATTAGCTATTTTGGCAAAAAAAAATGAACAGTATACTGTAGTACACTGATTTTTCAGTATTTGTTTCAGAGCAAACTCATTTAAATGTATGGAAGCAGAGCACTAGTGAAAAAAGAATGTACAAACTATAAGGACAAATAGTGATAGGCTAGATACAAATGTTAGATAAGCAAAAGTATCTCAAGATAGAAACAGAAACTCTCACTTGCTGACTCAGAAATGGTTTGGTAGGCCCCAAAAAAGCAAACTTTCCTAAGTGCTATATTCGCTCAGAAGGAAAACAGGTTTTCCCTTTCCTCCTACTCTTAAGTTGTTTCAGGGAGGAAAAAAAATGAATTTAATCTGTCTTCCTTTCAGGTTAATAATGTAAGTCATCCAGTCACCCCTACAAGTCCTAGCAGATTTAAAACAGTTCTTTCAAACATAAAAGTAGAGCATCACTTTTAAGATATTGCAAGCTTTACCCCCTATTATACAGACATTCTTCATTTTAGACCAATGCACTAAGAGCTGTCTCCTGTGAAAACCACATTTCTTTTCCTCTACTAGACAATATGCTAGGTGAAAGCCACCTCCCAAAYGACAAAATTACTCCTAGAAAAGCCACTATCTCAGTACTCTAAAATGAAMAAAATATTTAAGCAGCAAATAACCATGGGTCATCTGTTTGGTGTCCTTAGTGCCACTGCCTGCAGAACAGCAGTCAGGAATTTTGAAAGCTCCATTTTTTACTGAAGTGATACAATTAGCTTTAAGGACATTTATGCTTAAATACTCCTCTTATATTATTTAGTGTTTGTGATATTATATTACTCMGAAGCCATAATGAATCAAGTACACAAAGTTTTGAAATGAGTGGATATGTAAGTCTTGCATCAGTCAAAAGATGGGCTTTTAAAGGCAATTTCTGTAAGTGCAGAACAGGCTTAAAATCTTACCAACTACTTCTTCCCTCCTCCACTAAAGTGTTTCTCCTCCCRAGTGAGCTCCAAATCTCACTCTCTTTATTAGCTGCACATACTGTTCTGCCTTCATGTCCCACAAGAAAAGAATTGATCATAGCACACTGAATGGGCACTATAGTTTTATCTTACTTTAGGGAAATCATTTAAGAAGTCACTCTCTTCCATTAGGATGAAAATGTATTTCCTGCCTGTTGAATAAGAAGTATCCAGATCACTGACATTAAGCCTAACTATCCTATCTGATAATATGCAGCTTTGAATAGTAGATATACATCTAAGGCAGAACCTGACTAATAAYGAAGTTTATCCTATTCCCTTAAGTGTTAGCTCTGATGAGCTCTATAACTACAACACCCATCAAGTCCACAGCAAGCTTTTCAGAATGAGATACTTATGCCAAGTACAATGAAAAAAACTATGAAGTAGGGATTTATCTGTGCTAATCTAAACAAAAGAACCTGCCAAGGCTGTGCCAAGTTTTGCTCTGAAGAGGCCACCATACCTCTCTCTTACCAGTTCAAGAACTGCATCCATGTCTTTTTGGCTATATTTTAGCACGTCTATAATAGCATCCACTGCAGTGTTTGTAGGAGYAGCAAAAGGGACTGGAGGAACATCACTACTCAGGGAGTCTGGAATTAGAGGACTTGTGTCCTGTAAAGAAAAGAAAAATGCAAAGTTTCAACAGATTTCTATTGCTGTGCTATTGATTAGCTGTATGCACATTATTCAATGCCGAGTCAATGTATCTTTCTTAAACACACAAGATACCTCCAGAACTCTGTTACTATAAAACTTTCTTATTTTGAAGTTGACCACATAGGTCTAAGAAATATCTACAGGGTAGAACCACAACTAATATCCACCAATTACAGCTATCAGAAACAAAGCAGATGACACCATGCTGTTCCCCACCATAAAGACACCACTTCAGCTTGAGCTGCTGTGTACAGATCTGTTCATAAAAGGCTGTTGAAACTATAAACCACAGCTGTAGACCATCCAGTTTAATCGAAGTGCTTTTCATCACACCAATGCAATTACAATATAAAGCTTATCTTTTGTGGCTTGACTTGCATTAAAAAAAAAGATTGCTTGACTAAAACATTCTTAAAAACAGCTCAAATTCTCTTAGATCATGTGCAATAGCACCAGTTTCCACAAATAATGCTTTGAATACTTCATYGCAAATTAAATGTTAGAAGATGTTCATCACAAAGTTCATCTTTGATACAAATTAGTATCCAAGGTGGTTTAAARTAACAGTTTAAGTACACATATATCACATTTTGCAATCTGCGTAAGTATTAAGGTCCAGAACCTAGGCTGCTATCCCCTTCCCAAACTATCAAMATGAAACCTGATAGCATTCCAGACATCCTTACAGAAGTTGTAAATGTCTCCAGAAGAACTAGTCCTTTTGGTTTTTCTTCACTTTGAAGACTCACTAGAGGCTTTCCAGCTTCCTCAAACAGTTTATCTAAATCAGCAACAGGACTGAAAACAAACATACACCATTAAATTCAAGCACTGCATTTCTTTGCAAAGCTTTTGTACCAATAGGGCCAGGGCAGTGATTGTCACATGTACTCAGCACTGTCAGGCCATACCTTGAATCCTGCATTCAGTTTTTGGCCCCTCACTACAAAAAATAAACTATGCCCAGAGAAAGGCACAGAGCTGGGGAAGGATCTGGAGCACAAGTCTGATGAGGGGTGGCTGAGGGAGCTGGGGGGRCACAGCCTAGAGAAAAGGAGGCTCAGGGGGGATCTTGTTGCTCTCTACAGCCAACTCAAGGGAGGTTGCAGTGAAGTGGGGGTTGGTCTTCTGAAGAACAAAGTTGGATGAAACAGCCTTAGCTTGCACCAGGGATGTTGGATATTACAGGATAGATTGGATATTACAGAATACTTTTTCACTGAAAGGGTAGTCATGAATTGTAACAGACTGCCCAGGGAAGTGGTGGAGTCACCAAACCTGGATGGGCAGATATGGCACGAGGAGCATGGTTTAGCAGTGGACTAACCAAAGCCAGGTTAATTGTTGGACTTGACAATCTGTAAGGTATTTTCCAAGCTAACTTTATGTACTAAGTCAATACCTACCCAGGCTGAGGTGCAGCTGTCATGACACTCTCGCTTGATTGAACAGTACCATGAACTGGTTGCCTTGGACTGTCTCTCAACAGAGGGTCAAACTTCAAATACAGTGACTGTTTTCTCAAGGCTGATTCTTTGATCTGAAGGGAAAGAGGCATAAACTGGCAGATCTGCTGCTTCAGAGCACAACACACACATCCCACMCACACACATAAATAATCTTTCTGAAGAGTGGGTGAGTCTATTCTTCACTGGCCAAAGCATTGTTCTCAGGAGGAAAATTACATAAGAGAACACAGTGCCCACATGCTTAAGTCCTTATGTAACATCAAGAGAACTCAATTTGCTCACAGACAGAACCAAAAGGGCAAACATTCATGAACTATTGCAAACCAGCAGAAGACAGAGAGRGAAGGATAGTATTGTAAGCTGAAAAAGCAGTGTRTGCCATTCTGTCTTTGCTTATACAATAATAAGGACAAACACAGCAAGGCCAAAAACAATTCCAATCCAGTGTATTCACTATTCAGAGATATTCTTTCTCCCGCTTGGGTCCAGAATAGAAGTAACTAAGCTGAACTGWTTAAAACATGACAAGCCCAATTTAGAGACAGATTCCCTGAAACTGACCATGAGGCCAAAGAGCTTAGAAAAAAAAATATTTTTGAAATAATGATCCTGCACTTTCAAAGCATCACGTTCTAGCAGTTTTGGCCAGAAGTGAAATGTCATTCATCTCAGTTTCACTGCTATTACAGAAAAATAGCGCCTTTGCAAACTGACAGCCAAAGAGCTTTGATTTTTAGTTGAATTGCTTTTAACTACATTTCCTTGCACCATCACCCCCYCACTCAGCCTTGTCACCACATTCCTTTGGAATAGGTGACAATTTCTGAGGACAATTCAAAGTCAAGTCAACTCGTGAAAGCATTTAAGGCTTGACAGTTTCATCTTTCCTCTCCACACCGCCAAGAAGGCAAACGAAGTATTTAATGTCATACTTACTGATGAAGACCCAAACTGCTCCAGATAGTCTATGCCCATTCCTAAAACTGGAAATGGAGGAAACAATACAATGAAAATGCAATATTGTCATATTGTCCTACCACAGACAGAAACAAACAAAAGTGTATAAAGCAAAGAAAGCCCTGCCTTCATTCTCATGACTTCTAGTTTTTCATTTGTTCAAAATAATCTTTCTATCAAGATCTGAAAAACGCCAAGATTTCTAAGCTAAGCAAACTTACAACTTCCATTTRTTCCCAAATACTTGTAAGAATACRTAGGATTTAAMACAGAGYTGAAGAACTTCTGTTGTTCYACAGYTAAAGTGACAAGCACACTCAGATATTCTATTATTATACACAATGCCCCATAAAAGAGCAAGATTGTCAGTCTCATCATTAAAATTAGCAGACAGGTCAGGTTTGACTGCTGAAGTTATAGCCACATCCCAATACAGTGATTCCACTCCTGTATGAAGTAAGTGACAGACTACACTGCAGTCAAACCATTTGCTCATCCTTCCACTCAACRCTCCAGGAATAACCCTTCCAAAKGGTTAAGCCACAGCTATGTAGGAAGCTCTCAAGACAAGCATGCTTATCAGAAAGATCATTCACACTGTAATATGAAACCAGTAGTRCTAAGGSCTGCAGTAATCTACAGGACTCACAAATACAMACAGCTCTAGTGCTCTCAATTTACAAAGWTTTTAATACTAGAAATTATTTTAAGRAAGCAATTCTTCAGCATACATAGTTTCTGTACCAGACTAAATCTCATCCTCCCAGGAAGCTAAATTCTAACAGATAGCTTTCTGAACTTAGCTAAAACMAGAGAAAGTTATGAGTAGGCTTAGGTACATTCCCCAGCATGGCTTGACATTGTGGGGTCTGGAGTCTTTCAGAAAGGCAGAATGGGAGAAAAAAAAACCTAGAATTCATGACAAAATTTGTATAGAAAAATACATACACACATGTTGTTCCAACAATACATCTTCAGTCTGTTTAAAAGAAATGCCCTTACCTTCTGATGATGGTCTGAAGATCTCTTCAGGTTCAGCATTAGCTGTCTCATCTGCTGTTACTTYAGTTCTGGGGGAGCTAGGTTTAATTTCTTCTGCAGGTATTGACTTTTTTCCACTGTCAGTGGAAACCAAAGTATCTTGAGAGGGAGCAACATTAGCCAGAGACATTTTAGATGGGCTCATTTGCTTCTCCTGATGAGAAAAACACAATYWTTTTTACTGTTAAAATMATTATTTTWAAATGCAATGAAAATAATWTTAATGATCAAATTGGTTTGTCATAAACTAACTGGRCAGCCACCATAATAAAACAGGTTCACAGACATAGAAATTAAACTACGAACACTGAGCACAGTTCATATCATACAAGAGCCACTCTTTTAGAGTCCACACCCTTATGTTTGTCGTTGGATGCAACTGCTGATCAAAAAAGATASAAAATACCAAGGTACCAATTTGGCTGTCTCTGATGTTACCTTCACAACATAGGTCTGCACAATTGATATTCCTTCTAGAGSAGCTGAAGATGCATAAATCCACTGATTCTTAGACAAAATATCAAAAATAACTTTCACAAGATTAAGTCATTAAGTCAGAGAAATCTCTTTCATGGAACAACTTGGTAAGAACTGGCTATCTTTCCTATACCTTACCACTTCTCTCTTTCCTGGAAGTTCAGCTTCTGCTTGAACTCCTGACTTCTCTTTTTGAGCTTCTGGCATGTCTTCTACCACAGTGTGCTCAACAATTCCCCTAAGGAAAAGAAACCACACAAACAAACAAGAAAAAAATTGGAAAAATAAATCAGTATTTAAGTCACACAGTTCAAACACTGTGTTACCAGATGAACTGAACAAAGGTAGCCTCTTTGAGAGATTCTACTGTCACAGCACAGGAAGCTTTACAGAGTTTGGGGATATAAATATACTGTCTYGCCTGGTGACAACCTATGTGACAGAAAGCTCTCCCTCCATCAGAAGCAGTGTTATCTGGGAAGGAGGAAGTCACGGCAACATCACTTATTCACTTAACACTGTTCTCCTATTTCMCTTTKTTCRGCTCATTACTTTTTTTAAAATTGAWGATAGGCTCTTTSTTTRATTAAGAAMAGAATTACAAGCARCCTGCTCCTCTTTCCAAAGCAATGCTGTGATTATTGGTGTGAACTTCATTAGAAAAGGCCGATACTCCATTTGTGCTGAAAGCAGTACATAAACTTTTCACCTTGGTAAACAGTAACTGATCATGTTACACAGGGAGCAAGAGTACAARTATTTCTGTCAAATGAACAATTTGTACCAGTCTAGTTCTGGCAAGCACCTGACTGTCTATAGTAACAGTGACATTTAAATAACTAAATTTTCTAGGAAAGGTAACAATATATTCCATTCTCAAATAAAAAGTTTTGTGGTGCCAAAAAAAAAATGCAGCTTCAGAGGCAGTTTTTTTAACTGGAGATAGCATTTAGGTACCAAGAACATGCAGTGAAGAAACAGTACCTCAGAGTTTAACAGAAAACAAAATTGCCTGGTCTGTTCCATACTGCACCATGTGCAGCTCTGCTGCCTACTTCCCTGTTTTATTTAAAGACAGTAGCAGTCAGCTGATTCTCCACAATTTAATCTTGGAGGAGTGGGGAAAGTACCACTTGAACAATGCTCATCCCATCTAAGCCGGTTCTACCCCATTCTCCCAGATTTAACACCTTTTGCCTAGAGCTAGTCATCTCAGAAGCTTTCCCAATTAAGATCTTTGCYGTTGCAACATAATCATGTTAAAGATTACAACAGACTCAGCCAGCCTTGGAGGGAGGCAAAGAAGTAGGAAGGTACTAGTTTGAGATACTATSTAACTTTCCTCACATGATTTCAAGGTGCCTCTGCATTGATCTAGAGATTTACTCACAGATTTTTGGGTTCTTCTTTCTCAAGAGTATTCTCACAGGTATTTGGACTGCTAGGTTGCTCCACTGGAAGAGGTTCCCTTCTTGGTGAGCTACTATCCTGTTCCTCTGGCAGGTGAACTTTCTGAGGGCTGGGTTTAGAACACTTGGGTGAGGTGGAAATTTTAGAGCCTCCTCCAAATGGATTAAAATTCGGATCATCAAGTTTGTCCCAGTCAAACTTATAWGATGCTTTAGGAAGAGGGATTTCATCTTCCACATTACTTTTATTCTGCACTTCAGTATTCTCCGGTTTTGTCTTGGTAATAGGAWTTTTTTTGGAAGGTGGTTTAATTCCCAGTCTTTTACCTAGTTTCTTAGGAGGTGGTTTTCTAGCAGTGGTATTATCAAAGTCAAATTCCTGTATTACTGGTCCAGCCTTGGTGACATCAGGCTTTTCTGTAGGTTTCCCTGTGGAGACACCCAGCTCTTTGTCAGGCTTCAACTCTTCTGCAGAGGATTTTTCTGCTACTGAAACATTCTGAAGCTTTGAGTCCTCAGTTTTAAAAGAATTAGTTACATCAGAACTACTGGGACCCAAGTTGCCAGGTAACTGTGCAGCAGGTGTAGGTGTCTCTCCTARTGCCACTGAATTATCAGTTTGGCTTGCATCTGTGGAAGCAGACTTCACACCCTTCTCAGAGTCACCAATTGCTTGCTCAGGGGACAGCTTGGATTTGTTAGACTCCAGCTTGCTCAGTGCAGATTCGTTTTCAGAGATGGGAGTCTTCTCTTCACTTAAACACTCTGTACTTGCTGTGGTTGAAGCAAAAGGAGCTGCATCCTCCCACAGAAGAGAATCATGACTTTTTTCAGTTTTCTCAGAGCTGCTAGATACTTTTACAGGAGACTTCTGCAGATTTCCAGGAGAATGAAGCAACKGTACCGAACTTTGAAAAGGATTGATGTCATTTAAGTTATCAAAATCAAGACTGTAGGAACCTCGACTCCTCACTGGCATCTCATCATCTGGGTAAGGAGCCACGCTGACCTTCTCTGGCATTTGGGTATTGTTTGCTTCTGCTACAGTCTTTTGTTGACATGTGCTGTTAAAAAAAAATGCTATAGTTAATTTGCAGGCATAGCTTGAAACTATCTTTAGAAAGATTTGCCAAAGTAGCTTTACACATTCAGAGTAATCTGCTTTCTTTTTCAATAAGGCAGCTGACAGCAAAACATAACAGCAAGAATTTAGTTGTCACCTAAACCATCAAGATTTACAAGCTCTGGTACACATGAGGATTAGAGAGATCAACCCTTGAAGTTAATCAGTGTTCTTAAACTACCTGTTCCACACAGCCTTGTTTGCTTGTGCCAGTCATCCCTGGACACTGCTCTACTCACCACAGTGTATGGACATTTTCCTTTCATTAGGTTCCTCACACATTGTTTAGGAGAAATTATTGACAGTCAGCAGCTCAAACACAAGCACAACTTGTGGTACATCTTCATGCAGATTCATCTCTGAGTCATGACAGACTCAAGTCTGGGACCAAACCAAGTCATGATTCACGTTCTCCCACATTTCATTACTTTGTCTGGTCATTCTGGCATACATTTYCCCCCCTGAAAGTATGCACCAGTATTTGATTTATGGAGGCCTACATACCAAAACAGAACCTGGACTTGAGACATTCTAAATTCTGTACAACAGCAAATCTGAAGAGCAGAGTGACATACAAGAAAACATTTCTCCAGGAAGACAAAGGTAATTTTTTTTTTTAGCGAAAGAAACAGGTTAAAGAGTTTGTGTACTCACTATCACAGAGTATTCTACAAGTAGTAACTCTCCACTTTATTTTCCCAAACTCCACACAACTTCTGAAGGTTTAGCCTCAGACTACAGAGAGTTAAGCCAWCACTTCCTGAAACAGTATTTCCTCCCATTGTTTTGCCCCTCATAAAGTTATTAATTCTATGTGCCGTCCTTATCTGCCGCGGAACAGAACATGATTAAAAGCAACTCACTAAAAACTCCACTTTGATAAACTCGAAAGCAGAGACCGGAGATAAGAGCTAAGAAGTCCTTCTCACCCAGTTTGAGCGACTCTTCCCGGCAGTAACTCAGCCCCAGGCTGCAACTACTCAGGTCCCCTCCCACTCTCCTTCAGTGTTTAACCTAATAAATGCCAGTCAAGAGCGAGGCACCTGCTTGGAACGTCAAAGTGACCCCGTTCAGCAACACTGAGTCTTTTCGCTTATTTGCTACAAACAAATTCTTACGTTTTAAAATTAGAGAGGACATATTCAGTACAAGCAGCACATTGAAACCATTATGCCCTGACTAAATTCAGTGCTGATCCTTTAAACTCACTTGAACTTGGTAAGTACTAAATCTTTGTTTATTTGCGCAACAACAAGTTTGGAGTATAAATCCCATTACATTATTTCAGTGTGGTGGTTAATTCAGAAATGGTTTTCTGAACTACACTGTATACAGAAATAAAACAATTGAATTTATACACTTCGAGAATATTTAAGTGTTGAAACCTTTTCCCCTTTCTCCCCTTCCCAACCCCAAAATTAGGGATCAAATAAAAGTACAGGGTAGTTAAAAACAAAAGAGTGTATTTGCTTGCTGAAGACAAAACTAAGACTTGAGACTTCTTGCTGTTGGGAATTATAGCTGTCAGATGTCTACACTCAGTTAAAAGGGGACTAAGAGTCAGTAACAAAAATTTGCATTTAATATTGTCATAACACCCCCAAACATAAATATTACAGATTTTATGCTCTTCTCTAAGCAGCTACCATAAACCATTTTGAGACTCAGGCTGCTAGACTAAAAAGGCACATAAAGTTGTTTATACTTGTGACTGATGTTATAWCCACTTCGCATTGCTAGACTGAAGAAAACCTTAATATTCCCTGACTCAWGGTGTCTATTCAAGCTAACCCTTTGGAAGATTTCTCTTTCTAGATTTTACTCCTAAAGATACAACAATACTTAACATACAAGATAAGATATTTTAAGGCTTTGCTTCAGAATAATTGTATTCTCACACAAAACCTTCCATAGGTAAAGAAAATTGTTTCTTACACTATGTATGCTCACACTATTTAGCTATATTATAAGTGACCTCAAATCAGCCACAGMAGAGTTTGAAATAAAGTTCAATAATTAATAGCACAATCAAGATAAAATTTTCTTAAAATAGTGACAGTTATCTTTGAAAAAGTTCATACATCAGTCAGTATTAATTTGGTCCTCTTGCAAAGCTTGCATCTTAAAATATAATTTTCTATTCTATAACAACTACACRGGTTTAAAACCGGGAAAGCTAATTTGAGCATGTCCCACATCGGTAAGACAACTAGCTGTGAATTCACTACTCACCTAGAATCAGAGGGTGCATATAAAACATCATCCACCAAGTCTTTATGGCAATCGTCAAGTGCAAAAGCAGTCTCAAGTTTGTCTGTCATAGCAGGACTCACGATTTTTCCAGTATGAGGATCTCTTTGAGGAGTTTGAAAGGTTACCTTTAAGAAAGAGGTGGGAGGAAAGAAAGGAAAAACATTAGCACAATATTTTTCAAGCGCCAAATAGCGCATGCATTTAGCATAGAAGGAGAAAGAGTAAAAATAATACAAAATCAAAAGTTTACCATCTTCGCTTTTGCCACATTTTTTGGTGGCAAGTTTTCTTTCTGGGACAGGCGGAGAATAGAAGGTCTCCCTGTAGGTTCTGGCAGTGCAAAGAAAAAGCCACAGTCTTCTGCTGTTAAATCATCCTTAATGCTTCCTCCATTTTCTCCATTTTCTGCATTTAAAATCTGCAGACTCATTCTAGAAAATAACACACACAGCACAGCAGCATGAATGAGAGGGTGTGGTCAGCCAGATGCACTTTGAGATAATGGAAGAAGTTGGCAGCCTGGCACTGACTAGCTAAGATTAACAGCTTCCAAGAGAAAATTGGAAGCATGGAAAGTCTTCATAGGAAAAAAGACTCTGAAAGTATCTAAAGCAGTACTGCATGGCCCCTCTGGTTTTGGCAGGGGCTTGAGAAGCTAATTGTTGGTATTATGCCTTCCACAGCTCACATTCTAGACTTACTAATTAAGCTGCCCATCCTTTGAAGGGAGCTCTGTCACCTCCAGTGTTTCCTCATTCCCAACCCCTTCAGCCMGTGACGTACAACCATATCTCTTGTAACAGGGCATCGAGCTAAGCACAATTGCTTCTTGAAGGGACAGATGAGACAGATGACAATCATCTCTCTGTTTTACCCACATGGTCTCATTAGTACATTGTACACCAGCAAACAGCAGAAGCAAATTTGGTTAGGGTATGTTTGGGATCAGAGTCCTAGACCAAATTAGCTTTTTTCTGCACTGTCTGAGCGTATGTTGCTCTTGTAAAGCATAGTACTTAGGAATCCTTCGCAGCATAGACATTATAGGTATGCAAATCCAGGAGAAATTGTCATTAGAAAGGTATTTCTGAGATACTGTTCTAACACTGGGTATGCACAAGCTATAGTAGAATGTATATGCTGATCTAATTTTACTAGTGTGAATGACTTGAAACTAAAGCCTGGGCTGYAACCAAGATTAAGGATGAAAATAAATCAGAAATAAAGAAAAAGCACATAAATACACCAGACAAGCCACCATGCTGCATGTACTTGAACTCTGCCTACTTTTTATTCCCATTGCAGCCTATGCAATTCTTAAAGGTTTAACACTAACACTAAGTGATACACAGCTGCTTTTTTTAAAAAAGAAACAGACAGAAGGCATGGCAAGGAAGATCTAAGCATAACCACTACCCATGAAGGATGACACCTGAGAAGTACAGTTAGTTATCTGAAAAACTGCTATCAAAGCAATTTATTTTGTAAGAGCTGATGTATTGTCTTGTATCACCTATGCAAGATAACCAACATCAAGTGGAGGAAACATTGGCTTTCTGCAATGTGTAACAATTCTAAGTGATCTTAAATGTTTGATTTAGTGAAACACATAATCCTTAACCTGTTTTTCCATCACATATTCAACATTAATCCAGAAAATCAGCTGAAATACAGAAATTACCTAAGGAAGACCACAAATTATTTATGTTTTCACATCATAAAGTAGTAATAAGAACACTTTGACTGAAAATTTTAAGTCATATTTTCAACCTCATTGCCCTTATGCATTTATATTTCTCTACTTGAGGCGCTATACAAATTTCTCCACTCCTACATTAATCCTGATGGGAAAATTTGCTTCCTACTCTCCACAGAACTTAGCTGCTTTGTCTGAAAGCCTGACAACAGCACTTTTAATCAGCAATGGAATGCAAACAATGGCTACAGAAGCAATGGCATGCAAAGCACGCCTGTATTAGCTATCCTTCTTTATTCACCATATTAATGTTTTAGCTGAGGTTACTTTAAGTATAAAGTATCTTTACATTAACCACTTGTAGAACTTGAAGAAACTTCATTGTTGTCCTTCATTCCAAACTAAAATTGAGATGAAGTCAATCATTACAAACTATAGTTTTTCACTGTAATTACTTTAGAAACAAGCCTAGGACATGCTAACATTGTCAACACCTTCTAAAACAAGGTCCATAAGCATGGGAGCTTTGTTTGGAGACTTTTTCACTTTTGTCATTGAGCTATTTGCGCACCATTGCTAAACCAAATCCAAACCAAATAGAGTGATAAAATATACATACACCACTTTAGATATTAAATCTAAAAATCACATTTCTTTCTAGGATTAAAACAATAAAGTAATTCAGCACTTATTTTTAAAATTTGCAGTCAAGATTTGATCTAAATTGTATTCCACAAATTCATTRGCTAGTAACTGTGATAAAGTGAAAGAGAAAGGATGGCCTTATTCATATCTTTGTTCAAAGTGGTCAGCATCCAAGGCACACAAATAGTATGAAAGGCAGAAATTTTTCCCACTACAGCAAAACAAAGTTCAAGGCCAGGCTGGAYGGRGCTTGGAGCAATCTTATCTATTGGAAGGCGTCCACATCCCTGGGAGCTCCCCTCCCTGGCAGGGAGGYTGGGACTAGATGATCTTCAAGGTCCCTTTGAACCCTAACTAAGCTATGGTTCTATCAAAGTTAAAAAAATAAAATGCTTCAAGTTTTAGAATAATATTTATCTGGGCACATGCAGGAACCTGTTATTCTACCATTAAGAATGAATGTGTATTCGATGACATCAGATAATTAATCCTCAGCTACCTATCATTTGTAAAGTGCTTCGGGTACCTGCTGTTTAACAAATACCGAGACACAATAGCCAAAACACCAACGTGGTCCCAAATGCCTGAGAAGCCACTGAACATGCAGGGCAGAGATGGAATTTTTCTACTCATTTATCCTTTTGAACTCCTCCAGCAATCGAGATGCAGAGCACTCGCTCAAAGCAAAGCAAATTGGTACGTGCTGTGACTATTTCCATCCAAACTAACACGTATATATATGTGACTGCAATATAGATGGGTATTTTAGTACAAACATCTCAATTCAGAACAAATGAATACTCTCCTGGTAACCGACTTTCTCATAATCACTTCACCGTGAATGCAGGGGAAGAGCAGCAAGGCCGAGGAAAGCTTTGGAGGATCTCTGGAGAAGCTCCTTCCCTGCCCACC